CGCCGGCATGTAGCGAATCGATGGTCTCTTGCGAGATAAACTGGGATAGGTTGGAGGCATATAGGTGAGGCTTCGTAGGTATGTGGCCGGTTCGTGGTAGCTCGCGACGAAGGTGACGACGGCGACGAAGACGGCGGTGGTGGCGACGGTCGCGGCGGCGGTGGTGGCGAGGACGAGGACGATGACGGCGGGTCGCGGTGATGATGATGATGATGGTGGTGTTGGTGGTGGTGATGGTGGTCGCGATGATGGCGATGGTGGTGGTATACAGGTGCCGTACGGCATATCGGAATGCCAAATTGTTGCGCCACTGCCAACGTGGTTGGCCGAGTTCGGCGGCCGGCTAAAGCGAGGTCTAGCTCGACTCGAATTGCCCAACGCGCGTTGTACTTTTCACTTTCCCTCACCCCTACCTACGTGCGCATGGCGTGAAATTTTGCCTAGGTATAGAGACCAGGATTGACCGATCTAACGAACACCAATGGCCGATGGCCCAGAATCCGTGAGCGATCGCGAGTTCGTTCGCGCAATTCGCGTATCCGGGCCGACCGCCGCCGCGCCGCCGCCGCTGGTCCGCCGCGACCGCCGCGCCGGTTTTTCGAACGTGCCCTCTTTTCAGCGGCGGCGAAGTCGATTTTAGTCGGTAGTCGGTACCCCGATTAATATGATACTCCGCGTATTGCGCCGGTAACAAGAACGAGCTCCGCCACGATTTTTTTCGACGTTCTCGCAACGCGAGGATGGCTTGCGAAATATTTTCTACTGTTATCTGCAATGCCTAACTTTAGTTGATCTTTAATTCATTTATGTGCGTAAGGTAAATGTATATCAATGCAGGGACACTTAAGACCTATGTCTGGGCACCTTTATTATTTTAGTTTTTAAATAAATGTAACGCCAATTAAAATCGAAGATAAAATTATAATACAGAAAAAATATTTTTATCTTTGATTCTTTAATTTTAATTCGCATTATATATAACTTATTTAAGGACTAAAATGATAAAAATGCCCAGACATAGGTACGTGTCCAGGCATTGGTACGTTTACCGTGCTAGCCTTCGAGCTTACATTTTGCGAAATATTTCGTCCGATGATAAGTTCTATTAATTGGATAATATATGTTATATTTAATTAGAGAAAATAAGTTTTAGCTAGAAAATGTATATATATTATAATACGTAAACTTGAATTTTAAAAGAAATCTTCTAAACTTTAAATATCTATTTAAATAAATGCAGAGATTAAAAAAAATATTTTCTTAAACATTTTAAACGGCGTAATTGATACAGTAAAAAATTATTTATGTATTTTAATATAATGCGGAATAAAAAGAAATAATTTTGATAATCTTACTTCTTTTCCATGCACATCAGGATGTAATACTTTCTACTCAGGAGTAAACAACATTTAGAAGCTATAAATGTGAAACGTATTATCCTCGCGCAATTCGTTTCAAGCTCGTAATTAGTATTTCGTTACGAGTTTCGTGCATACTATTTTCATGGATTACGAAGGTTCGAGGCAGCAATCACTGCAGTGTTCCCTATTAATTTAAAGCGCGTGATTAATTTCGAGTCGTTATGGTCATCGCTGCGAGAAACCCGCAGCGAGATCCGTTTTGGATCTCAAACTGCTTTCAGCCTGTAAAGTGGCACGCAAGAAAAACCGGCAATAAAGTACGCTTTCCGTAGAAGTACACTTTCGTGCGACGAGCGAGGATCTATCTTTAATTATCGAAATTTTCCATCGCGCTTTTTTAATATCTATCTCGCTATCTTTAATAATACTGTTATATCTTGCTATCTTTAATAATACCGTTCCCGAAATACGGATATAAAGTCATTTGCGTCATCGTAATTAGTACTCGATTAGTACTTGATTCGCATCTGAAGAGCCTGTTGTTGGAACGAAGGCATACATTGCGTCGGAAAGTATAGATTTGTAGGAGGAGAGCAAACATCACTAACACGTCTCGACGGATAATTAGCATATATCACGTATTGCCGATGTGCACCCTTTAAATCTTTAAAGCTCACTCAGTGGGTCAGTAGTGTCTGTCTATCCATTCACTTTCAACGACGCGGGTTATTATCGGTCGCGGCGCGAAACCCGGCGCGTTGTGCAAGAAGAAGGTATCACGAATCGGTTTTGATCCGCGCGCGGAACAAAAAAAAAATCGCTCGCGCGCCACTATACCGCACGCCTGCTGCTGCGATTCGGCACATTGGGCCACGTGTTGCATTTTTCCGCTTCTATCCGCCCGGAGTTTTGTGTCCGGCATTATTGCGTACAACCGAAGTGTGTACGAGCCGGCAAACATCGGCTTAAATTATACGCTGCGTAACGAGGAAAGAATTCCTTTTCTAAAAGATAGTAATTTTTTCCAGATTTCTTCACGTCAAACGTATAATCCGTTTTAAATTGATCTATACAATTCGGAGCAGACTTTTATCTCATCAATAGTTTTTCGCGTTAAGGCCCGATTGTTCCAACCTGTTGGTAAACTAACTAATAGTTAAATCATATATCTGTCTTTGTTTATCCTTTACATTAGACAAAGATAGACATATGATTTAACTATTAGTTAGCTTACCAACAGGTTGGAACAACCGGCCCTAAATCGTATTTAAAACTGTATAAGTAATTACGTATATAAGAAAAGATTCCGGTACTTCTATAATATTATATTTTTCTAGATTTGATCTAAACGCATCTAAAAATTTCATGTATTGTTATTTGTTTATTGTTTATTTAAACTTTATATAATTCCTCTTATTTTTAATTCAAACTCTTGAAACGACGTATAAGAGATTCGTATTAGTCCAAAAAGAATACTTTTTTGGATTTTATTTAAACGTAACCGTTTAAAAATCGCGATTGTCGTTCGTTTAAACTCTGGTTCTTCTCAGTTCCTCTCTAATCAAGTCGTCTAATTCAAGTTCTTGAAATAATGTATGAATGAATCTTATTAGTTTAAAAAGAGATGCGACTCGATTGGCTACTCACCAGTTGTACAGTAGTCAGATGCTTCTTCCACCACAAATACTTCTGAAATTCTGGGCCCATGGCCGCTAACATGTAATACGCGTACATGACCACGTGCACCGCGTTGTTTATAAGATTGCCCAGGGTGCCATGGCCGCCCGCGATAAACTTCACGCAGATCCACGTCTCGAGGGGTGTTAGAGAATGGTGATATAAATGCAGGAATGTCACCTGACTGTCTTTCTTGCGCAACACGAAGAATACCTGAAATTTCGATGAGTAACGTTGTTACGAAATTTCACGAGCTCTCGTAATTTCCTGTCACTTAGCTTGGATTTAGGATTCATTGACTTATGGGTTTAGGGCCGCGTCCGCTTCACCTGTCGTGACCCACATTAAATAAATTGAAAATAAATTAATTTATAAAGGCATACACGTGCTCCGGAAAGCAGAAGCACTTTTTTTTTTATTAAGGAAGCGATCGAGACGCCAAGATTCCGAACTTTGTTATTTAAAATTTGTTATTTTTATTAGTGATAAATCGTATATAAATTTATTTAATCTAATTTAAATAAATAAATTAAAAATAACTTATCTTATTTCATAAGATTTCAAATAATTTATCTATTCGTTTCAATCTACTTATCCTTGAATTAAGCTTTAAAATAAAATAAAAAAATCATGGAGAATCTTATCGACTTAATTTAATATTCTCTCTTTAAATTGAAAAAGAGGAGCGAGCGATATTCCACTGTCGTGTTAATTGCCAGCAATGCGAGGCTCCCGAGCTGTATCTCCTGGAAAATATCTATGTTCATTAACGAAGCGCGATGATTTTCGTCATCCAGGCACGATAGAACGCGATAGCGGCAACATATACTGCTGTCAAAATTGAGCAATTGAATGATGAAAAAGTCCGTTTCGCGATGATTCCTACGTTCGGTTGAAATTTCGCACACGCGCTGTCGAAAGTGCTGCTTAAGCGCTTTCCCTCTCTGTCTCTCTACTCCTTCGCCTTGCTCGCCTAGCTTTAAACACCCGCTTTGCGGATTGTCGATTTATTCGGCCAGAATATCTAACAAACGAGTGGCGATCGATTAAATCTTATCTGCTCCTTTAATCCGCCGGTGCGATTGCGTGCACGATACGGCGATTCGGCGCCGTTCCTGCTCACTCGCGCTAATGGAAATGATTGCTTAAGGGTTATTGCGTCGTGAGAAGGGATATACGAGTGTTCCGTACATAATTATGCGATTCTCGCGGAATAGCTAGCGGGGAATAGTTTCCCACTTCCCACTTCCCCCCCCCCCCTCTCTCTCTCTCTACCTTTCGGTCTGTTTACTATGCGTATATACATTCATCGAAAATGCAGAGCATTCACCGGATCATAGTAATACGACAAACAAGAAATATGCGGTACGGTTTTTCTTGGTTGACTGCGCGCAATTTTCGAGAGAAAAATAACTTTGCGCGCCGAATTAAGAATCGAAAGCGCAAGCGGATAATAGAACATTTATCGCTCTTTTATTTTAATTAGATTTGGTCCAGATTTTTATATCTCGCGCGGCTGGAACTGGTTTCGGTTACTTTGCATAAAGATAAAATGGTGTATCGATGACATTCCGCTCCGTTTCCGAACCTCAGGTAGACATTTATAAGTAAATCTCGTTTTTACTTTGGAAAAAAGGTACCGGATAAAAAGTCTGAATATCATTATGCAGATGATTATTTGTTTTTGGTTCTTTTATGGAACTTGGGGGAAAGTTCCACGCGCCTCGATACTGGAAAAAATTTTTATTAATATGCGTTCTATAGAGATTCCACATCTCGATAGCATAATCTTATTTTATGCTTTGCTGTTCTGACAAAATTTCAGAAAGAATCGAAGGACGCTTTTATTCCGTCATTACTCCATTCATTCCATTCGTTTTCATCTACACGCGTGGATTTAATATGTAATTGTAATTTAATTTAATTTATGTCATGTATATGTTTCTCTTTGTGTGTTACTATTTTAAACTTAAAGAAATCTATTCTTGAAATTGATCGATTCGCATGCTTTGCATCCACGTGACTTATCGCCGGCTGGTATTACGTATGCGAATTTATGGAAGTTAATCGTACCGTGTCAGCGAATTCCGTAAATTTGCTGATGAAGTACCACCAGCAGAGGTTCGCCATCCTCAGAGCGGATGGATTGTGGGAGTAATCGACCGGTTGACATTTATAGCTGTAGTCCAATAGCCATCCGGACATTAAGTGCTGCAAAAGAATGGGAAACACCCGGTTAATTATATCAATTAGCTCCGACGGAGCAATTTAGTTTCTTGGGCGAACCTCGTTGAGAAAAATCGATTACCACAAATCGTTTATTTCGACATTGACAAGGAAGTTTATAAACTCTTTAAAGCCAGACGTAATGTAGGCTGACGTAATATAATAAATCAGTTTGAACAAATATTTATTTTATTTCGCCACGTCGTGAAAAATGGTAACTGTGTTTTCTCTGTCGGTGCGAAGGATGATGAAAGTAAAACATAAATTACAAAATTATAGCGGAAGAGGAATAGTACAATTTAGATAATCTTCATAGAGAGATGTACTTTATATATTTTATATATTTTTTTTTATTATATCCGATCGCTGTCTGTAATTATCATTGGCATCTCCGATACATTTTATATCATCCTTTCATTGTTTATGGGTATGTTTATGTCCTCGATTCGGTATAAGTCGATCGGAAAGTCCACCTTAAGAAGACTGTGTGTTACACATATTACCAATTTTCATACAGCAAGTGACAGCAAGTATAAATCTGTTTCAGGAGAAACTGTAGGTTTTGAGGCCACGTTCCATTTAACACAATCCAATCTTAATAAAAAAAACACGTTAAGATACTCATCTCAATGTTGGCTCTTTTCCACGATGATGATTAATTCTTTCGTTGTACGCTGTGCATACGTCGAACCGTAAGCAGCTGTCGTGATGGAAATCATTAGTTCTAACAATGCTACAGTTTGATAATAATATAAATTATTTCATTCACTTCCTTCTGCGCAAACGGAAATCGCGGTTGTATTTTTATCTCCTGTCGATAGCCGCAAGTATAATTAGATTACAAAGTCTCAAAATATTTATGTAAACAATATGTAAATAATAATCATGGTTGCGTGAAATTTATATTTCGACTTCAACTTATAATTACCGATTAATTTATGAAGTCTATGTGATATATAAATAAGGTGAGAAAACGGGGTTAAGATTGAGTGACAAAGTCAATGTCAATTGAGCTGTGAAAATTAATAGAGTGAATGCATACACACGTATGCATATAATTATGCGATCTTAATCGTGAGCGCCACCCGATACTAATGTTTATCTTTTAATCATTCACGCGAACATCTTGATTTTCTTTCTTTTGCGTTCGGATTTCCGAAATAGATTTCGAATTAACTTCCACGCAATTGGAAGCAAACATAGTTAAATAATTTTATTTAATATCGAAAAAATTGACAAAAAAAAAGAATGGTTTTAAAGATATTCTCATATTTCTAGAATAAATTTTCATTTTTCTAAATAGAATTTGATTAAATGGATTTTTAAGATAGATTTCCATTATCTTAGTGGTCGCATTTTGACAATGATAATTTATATGGCATTTTGTGTGCTTCGATATGAAGCGAAGGGCTATCGATTTTATGTTTCAAAGCGAATCGAAACTATCGGATAACGAGCAGAACACTATCTTGGAAAAGCTGTGCCATTTTGCGTACATAAAAAGCTCTCCTGACCGACTCTCTAATAGAAGCGGCAGTTATTGCGGTTAGTCACTTCTGCAAAGTGTACTTTCGCGCGGATGCAATCGTTCATTATCCATTCCATGGTGCATGAAAATTCGTTTCTTGTTTGACCTTCCGCACAGAATTTTACGTTGTCTTTTCGATCGTGCACCGTGGGAGTGGTGCAAACGAGACTGAATGCTTTATGGAAAGTCGAAAACAGGATGTCTCGCTAATAATAACGAAACGAGTGCACAGATCGATTGTTAAGTAACGATTGAGTGATCGGCCACTGGGAAATGCTGCAATCATTGTACATATTTTTCCTTCCTCTCGTTTGAGATTATTACGTTCAAGAAGTGATGCTAAATAATATCTTGATGTATTTAATATAAATGTCCGAATCTTTTTTAGAATATACATATATTATTGTACTAATTAAGTTAATATTGCAATAATAAATATGTAAAAATATAAATATGCACAGAGTATGCATAGAGAGAAAAAATGTTATATCGATGAAGTTCGTGGAGACATTAATAAAGATTGTAGTAGAATAAATAGAAATAATGGAATGCAAGAATCTGTTGTAAATAGTTCATTGGCTAAGAATTCGATAATGAGGTGGAACTGTGTCAGACTTAAAAGACTCAAAAACAATTGAACACATTAGCAATTGAAAAATAAAGGTCGCTTCTCACTATTGGCCAAGTCACGGTCCGGTCACGATTCAGTTGCTTTTTCGAGTTTGCGTTGAATTTAATGGCAACGATTTTTGATCGTGACCGGACCGTGACTTGACCGATAGTGAGAATCGGCCTTATATAATTCGCTGCGACTTTAATATTCTAATTAGCCATTAATATTCGGAGCAGATGTTACATTTTGGCAACCTTATTTAGAATAAAGCTGTTACGTATAGCTACTAAATTTGGGTATGCTTGGTATTCAGTAGGTCAAGGCTATCGATAAAAAAGTGGAGATTCTATCTTTAAAATTATGTCGTAAGTCCTTTGTTGAAAAGTTAATCAATAAAATCAAAACTATATGATTAATCCCGACGAGTGACATTTAATCTCGTACCATTATTTTAAATAGGACTTACGGCACAGTAAAAATTTACAATTGAAAAGAAAAGAAGAAACGTTTACGAAATGGAGTTAAAAGAATATTTAGTGCTAAAAATACTATAACAGACATTACAATTTTATGATTTTATAATTTCTAAATAGTTAATTGAATATTTTGGAATTATATCAATGTTTTGTTGTTGTTTACATCTAAATTAATTATATCTTTTGAAGAATGATTTAGTGTGTCAAAGCAAAAGTAATAACTGTAATAAGTCTAGTCTAATCTTCAATTCTTAAGTCTTTGTTTATAATAATTTCTATATTTTTTGTAAAATTGTAGAAATAATCTGAATATAGAGTTGATTCTTATATAATAATCGCATTTTTTTATAGAGACATTGGCATTCTGTCGATGAATAAATATGTGCATAATTAAATTTCACCGCCTATCATCCATTACATATTAATTTAGAATCTATGATTCACGATAAGTCTGAATTATTAATTAATTATAATAGACAATTAAAGGATGAATCTAACCGGTTATTATTAAGACACAAATTAATTAAATTTAATATAAAGTGATTGAAAATAATTAAACAAAATATGAATCTCCACGCAATTGATTCCACACAAATGCATATTAAAATATGAAAGTTGATAGTCGAGGCAGCGAATTTTAAACCGTTCCATCTTATTTCTTGCAATTCAGTTGCGTAGGAATTAGTTGAAAACGAGTGCAAAATTTAGTATTCCATTTATATTTATTTTTTAATCTATTTATTAAGTTATGATTATGAATTTCCCTATAATTATAGATCGATGTGTTTGTTATTTTTTGCACAAGTGTTGGAATAAGATACAAGATAATGAGATAAGAAATATTTAATTTGCTTAATTACCCATGTAGAAGTAATACTCCGGTGAAGCTTATAATTAAGACATGTAGGTATGGGAATTTATATCGCCTATTTGATATCAGCTTGATAACTAAACGCGTTGATCTCGCGTGATATAATCGGCGAAGTTCTAGGTCGAAATCTCTTCCTCGATCTTTGTCAACGATTACACGATTCATCATATCTCCTTTCACCGTCACACTTTGTTAGCCGTATCGATCTCGCGAACGAGTACCATTCGTGGTTGTTCGCTTTGATCGTTCGTAAGTCCTCCCCCCGATTAGCTATCCGATCATTTTCGATCTCGATTTATGTTCCATACCGGCGGCATACTTACATCATGACCTATATAACGAGCCGGGTAAGTTGTCTGACCGGCTTCCAAGCGCTAGTCGCGAGTCCTTAGATCCCGGCGGATCGTCGGCTCGTTCGTGAACTTTGCACGTCATGTATACGCTATAACGAGAACCTAATGATGGCTATAAGGAAACGCGAAAGTCAAGGGTGACACAGAAGGTCGTATCGAGACTCTCTCTTTCTCTCTTCTTCTCTTTCATATATACAAGCTCTCATTCTCTTCCTCTCTCTCTCTCTCTCTCCTTATTCCTTATCCATTGCTCTTGCATTCTCTTGTGAGCACACGTTTCCCTGCCCAAGGATTGCATGATTCCGTAAATTATAGGATTTCTAGCTCGTGCGCTTCTTCATCGGGGCAACCACTTTTCTGATTCTCCCAATTATCATTCCGTATTACTTATTTATCTAACGGTTATATCTCCTCCTCGTCTACGATACTTTTGCTTCACGATATGTAACGATTTCGGACAAGATTCCTTATCGAATACATTACGTCGGTATTAGTAAAATATTTTGGAAGAGCATTTTATTTTTCCAGAAAATAAACGAAACTATAATCGACAATAAATCGAAAGTTCATCTTGTTTTCTCAAAATTTTTATCGAAAATGTTTACCTCATATAGCATCCCTAGCGAGAAGACGACTTGAAACGCGTTGTATGTCACCAAGACTCCTCTGAGTTTATACGGCTTTCTGTTGACCATCATACGCGGGCCGAATATGACGACGCCGTACAGATAAAGAAGTACGATAAGGATTGTTGGTATAGGCGAGTCCATTAGCGGCCAGTCGCTGACACGTGGATCGGAAACTGTCGTGAGGATTTCCGTGTACTGATCCAGGGCCATCCTGACTAGACCCTGGGCACCTACGAAGGTCCTATTCGAGTCTGTCATCTCGAGCCTCAGCTCCGGCTCTCGCTCCGCTACTAATTCCGCTGCCGCCGACGCCATCTTTAAAAATGTAAACCAATATTATTAAAAATATAATTATAACGTGTTACATATATAATAACCGTCACACTTTGTTAGCCGTAAACCAGACGTTTCTAAAAAAAAGCAAGAAACCTTATAGATACCGATCGATGCGTTAAATTTAGAATATTTTTATTAATTTTTAGAATACCTTTGAATATATATGTATATATAATATGCAAAGTGGGTAATGTATACAATATTTATTTACTAAATTGATAAAGAAATTGATAAAGAAAAAAATTCTTTGTAGCGATGCAGGGAAATGCCTACATATTTTTTATATGTAATGATATTCTGAATATCATTAACATAGATTATGAAAATCCGTCTCCGAGAGGTTTCTTTATATCTTTTTGAAGCCTGTTAACGTGCCATTAAAATCACGTAAACGAGAATTGCGATCATTTTTTATAACTTGAAGAAGGATTAACGCGTTCAGCAAGCCACTTCTCACTTAGTAGTGAAAGAGTTAATGCCCTGGTAAAGCCTCATGGAATTTCTAGAGCCTTGCATATCAAGGCAAATTACCCGGCCCAATCCGGTTTATTGTCAGATACAGCCTGGCCCTGGCGACCTATATTCACACAGGTTTTTTTCGTTGGGCTCGGATTAATTTCTTGCTCGGATAAGGTCCCTTGATGTTTGGTATTTTCCGAACGTTTTACAGTTATCTCTATACTCGAGGAAAACAGTTGTGCGCATGAGTGTATAATCATTCTTAATATAATAAAATAAATTTATTTTATAAATGGAAATTCCTGTAACCCTATAGGGGATCAATACGATTATCTCATAAAATAAAAAAAAAAATGTATATGTGTTATTAGAAAGATTTACGAAAATTTTGTTGATTTTTCAAGCCTGTCGCGCTATAGCAAAATTATTTGGAAAATTAATATTTAATTAATAAAAAAGTTTCTTTTCAGAAATTTATCTTCTTCTGTCTTCTTCTTCTTCTTCTTCTTTCTTTATATCTATATATACTATCAGATATTTGTATGTCCAGGCGAGGATTACAGCAATTCTGTAATCGGACGAGATTCCCGGATAACTCTTTCCGTTCACGTTTACAGACGCTATTACATGTACGTGTCATCCTAATCGTCGATCAAAAGACTTCGACGAACGCAATGGGTCAGGAAGCTCGTCGGCGAACGTCATTTAAGTATCCTGGCGTTATCGCGAAGTCATCGTCATTGTGCCGCGCGCTTTCGCTGCGACTTACGCACGGATGTGAACCGGTCTCCTCCTTCCCTTTCGTCCTTCGCCTCTCCACATTTCTCTCTTTCGCCTCGTTTTCTATACGGCCTAATAAATCACCGTCTACTCACCGAGCGAACGCAATGAAATCAGGAGTTTTCAAATGCAACGTGCTGCGACGTGTGAAAGCATTACTGGCGAATCTCCGCTTATTTATCCGTGGTTACAAACGTTACATATGATATCTAGTAAATCGGGTATCATTTAACGCAGAATTTCATTATAATATAATACATCATGTTCCGTAACAAACTCAACAATTTAAAAATAAATTATTATGGGTAAATATTAAATAAATTTATTTTAAATGTAGTGTATATATGCATTAATAAAGTACTAACGCGTGTGCGTCGCTACATGCAGACGAACCGAACACGTGTGATTTTGTGTTCTGTGCTAAATCGCACGCGTCAGCGTTACCTTTATTACTAGATAACGATGATGCTTGCGATTCAGCGCAGAACCAACCGCTGATTTCTAACGATTTCTCGACAGTTTCTTCAGATTAAAGCTGTCGAACGATACGATTTTACACAGACTAATGGGTGTCAACGGATTAACTCTTTAAACTAAGCACTTCAGCACGTGCACTGTATTTTCCAATTATGTATTACTCTCCACAAATTGCTACACATGTTCTAATATCTATCTGCTTTAACGTGCAAGAATGTGATTATACGTGTGTAAGAATAGATTATATGTATCCGGAAAGAAACTTGTCGCTAATGGAATTAAAAGAAACTTAGTTTAGAATTAATTTTACAATAAATCGGAAAAATTTTTATTATTTATAAATATAATATAAATATTATGTAAATTTATAATATATTAGAAAAGCATCGTTTCTTCAGTACAAAGAGAAATTTACAACATCAACATTTTAATAGCATTATTGCCAGCAAAATAGAAGACAGTGTTGTTGCTCCGAGTCGCTATAGTCACACGCTATATAAAAAAATATGTTATTTATATATATTTATAGATATGCATGATTACCTCTTGTTTTACATATTGAATTAAATCGGTTCTTTTTTCATATATTTTATCTCAATTCACTTTCATTTATACTTTTACACACCTTCTTAATGGAAACATCTTTCTTCAATCTAGCCGTTAAGTGCTTGTTCGACTGTAACAGTAACCGGGAATGTTCATTTATTTCTTCATCTGCAATTCGTTTACATTTTGTGCCGCTCGGAAAGAAAGATGATAACGGAGAGAGATTTAACAGAAATAAACGGCGGCACTCACCGGAGATTATCTCGCGGGTTTTACCGTAAACATACACACGTAATCACTCGCGAACATTTGATTCTTTTCGATAAGCTCTCCTCGCGTAATCGCGGGGACAGTCATGACGCAGATGACAATTCGATATCGTCCATCCGACTGTGTTCTGCATGGGACACATCTCTCTCTCTTTCTCTCTCCCGGTCTCCCGTCGCGTCGTAACACACTTACTGGGCATTTAGAGCTTGTCACTATTACTTATGCCGTGACTTGTGTCGCCGTTGGACAGCATTAAATTCATGAATGACACTTTCTCGCCGTCCATCACGAAGGAAGTCAGTCAATTTCGTAATCTTACGTACCACGCCGCACGCGTTATGTCGCACAATCGTTAGATTGCGTTTTCGTGGGTTCTGACGACGACGTACGACGGTTATTAGCGATGAGTCGCGCGAACTTTCGCGCGCGACAACCGATTCGTGTAATCGGCGGCGGCGACAGTTCGTTCTCGTAAGCGGTAAGAGGTCGTAATCGCCTAAATCGTTCTCGTCTCACACAGGTTTTCTCTTCCGTGCCCAATTTAGGCCCGCACGTAAGCATCTCCCCGGGAGACATTTCTCGGCGCTTCTTTTTTCACCCACATCGTCGGGTGGCACCGGGCTCATCGCGAGACTCCGCGTGTGAACATCGATTGCGATTTGTAACACTCGACTGCTCATGATTTCCGTATTCGTGACGTAATTACGACAACCTGACACGAGACATATATTATCATTTTTACAAGAAAGTTTCGAGAGTCACGCCTGCAGAGAAAGAAAGGGAAGGCGATTTCTTTATGATTTCTGGCACGGGATGATTTCCGTAATCGTGATGCAACTACAATGTCTTCCTGCTACCTGGAACTTTTTAAAGAATCATCTCATACGTAATATTTATAAAAAATTAGCGAATCGTTAGTTAAAGTTACGAGAAAACCATGCAAACATGGGAAAAGTTGAATCTTTATGATCTTTTTTAGTTCTTGAAACGCCTTGTTGTGTCGACTGTGGGAGTGGTCTCGATCGAACTTAACGTTTTAAAATCTGCGCCATAATTTAACACGTAGACTATCGTTCTAAGATCTTTCTTCGAATATCGGCGTGAATTGCATCTATAAAGCGCAATCATATACTGAATTATACGGATGGAAATAACGCAGCGGCTTATCACAGCAGTTATATCGCGTTTCGATGCATACGAGCATCGAAGTACGGCTGTAAATCTCCTTAGATACGGGGGGATGAGCAGGCGGTTAGTAGACCAGAGAATTAAACGAGCCGCGGGTTTGGTCATCGCCGCGCCCGGCCGCCTCGGCGTGGCGCGGCGTTTTAAGGCCAGCGGAGAGTTCGTTTCGCAGTTTGCGTAATCGATTATTGCAGTTCAGCGGAGTGCGAAAACTGGAGTAACGGCAATAGTATGACTGAAGGTTGCCCAATGTCGTTGCGTGGCCCTTCGACTTAGCGGCCGGTCTTTCTTTTTTTTTTTCCATTTTTTCCCCTCAACGATCGCGCTTTTTGCGCGCGACGTGCATGCGCATTGTCCCGAAACGCATCGGCTTGCGCTCGCGCGCGCAAAACCCACCGGATTTTATGCGTGGATTTTTCATTGTGGATGCGCGATTATTAAAACATTGATATTATGTATTGACGATGTCAGTATTGTTAAGCCGGAATCAATTACGCAAAAAATATGTTGCATCGCACCGTTTATTGAGAATCTGGGTTAACGATCTGAGTTTCTATAAATATTTCTGCATTGCTTAAGTGAAAGTATCGCGCGTGGATCTTCCGTTAAGGGTCAGCTTTAGAATTAGAATTTTTTAAATATTCATGAGTGTAGGCGCGCGTTTGTGCCGAACAAGAGCTCGTCTCAATATAGGCGTCTCAATACGCGTTTACATTTTAATTTATCATAATTTATTCCTTCAATTTTCTACTTCATTAGAGAGAGAACTATCAAAAAATAAAATAAATAAAATAAATAAAAATTATAAAATAAATAACTAATGTTAGTTATTATTATACGTGGAATCGGGTAAACTAATAAATCTATTTTTAGCCAGGAAAATATTAACTATTTTATAAAGTAGAAAAATGAGACGTTGAAAAATGCTTATGAGCTCTCACCCTAGTCACCTCAATTTAACTAATATCACCGCACTAATGTTCAAAGTCCGACTGTCTCGGGGAGGCTATTTATCGTCATCAGACAAGGTTAATAGCGGCATATGTTTCACCCGAGACATCCGGTATGTGAATCTCGATCCGCGCTGACGTTAACGTCTCATCTCGGCGCCGCGCCGCGCGGCACGGATCCGTAAAGTCAAACGGTACTTGCTACATAGAGAAAGTCCCGCGAGAGTGCGAGATAAGGAGGGTGAGATCGGGTGAAGGTGGCGAGAGGAGGGACAAGGAGAAAGAGAGAAACGTCGTGTGGCCGGTGTCGTC